TAACGATTGAAAACAATGTTTTTGTTTCAGTTTGGGTTTGACCAATTCGTAAAAAAAAAAAAATAATTAAGACATGTGTATCCGTCAACCTTAAACAATAATCTTTGTCAATTTTATTTTTCAGTCTTTATGATGGTCGATACTTGATCTATCTCTTACTGTCACATCCCCAGGCAACGCTGGGCTCTACTTTTAGTTACTAATAAAATAATCAAAATTAATTATAGTCTGCCATAAGAAATGTTTTAAAATATGTTTCACTAGTGGACCAATGAGCGCTAAAATGTTAAACGCCACATTCTTATAATTTCTACTTCTAGATTTTTTTAATTTCTTTTGCTGAGATGCTTTTTTAATCATCTCATCCCAAGCAAGGCAACAAACCCACTAAGATGCAAGGGTTTACTGAGAATATGAAAAAAATATACAATTAAGAAGAGTGGACAATAAAAGAAGAGGAATTAAGAAGACAGAAGAAAACAACTTATATTGCATTTAAATTTTCACAGATCAAAGTTGGCTAGAAAGGAAGAATCCGGAGTAGAGTCCCGCAAATGAGAAGTGTGATAGAAGAAATTGTTAGCAAAGGACTTATGGTTACATCTAGCCATTTCAACTGTAAAATGATGAGACCTCACTGCCAAACTAGTACTGCACTTAAATTCATAAAGTCTAGGTACCATCAAGGAAAGGTCATCAGAATAATCACCAGGAAAATATTTATATAAAAGGCACAATGAAGCTATGCTATTGTGATAGCAAAATGACTGAAACCGAGCTGCCAGGTCATGACAAATAACATTGCTGATTCTTCTATGTATTTCATCAAGAATCTGTAAATGAAAAGCAGGAACATCAGACCACATGTGGCAGTAATATTCAAAAGAATATTTTAAATGAAGATTAATTGAAATAGGAAAAGACATCTTCTGAAAACAAAAAAGACTATTAAGAAAAGGGGAATTTTTTGTTAGAAAATCAATCCTTCCAGAGGATAGTGAATGTTGGACAATTTCCTTACAGATGAAAAGGAAACTTGAGGTGAAAGAGACAGATGCTGAGAACACCATGGACAAAACTCTTGAGCAATGAGGACTTTCCAAAGAAGATGGTAGCTAGAAAGTTATTCATGCTTAAGATAAGAAACAGAGAACAGAATTTTCTGTTCTGAGGAAAGAAGGCTTGTAAAACTTAATACACACAGGTTGTAGGAGTAGAGGGAAACAGTTAGCAACTTATCTAATGAGTTTGTATGAATTAATGGCAGGTCAGGGATAAGGAAGGATGGTAAAGAATCAAAAGTTGCTTAAAGCTAAATGAGATAGGAAGTTGGGGAGAGTCATGACCGCCCATGTCCGAAAGAGACACAGTTCAAAAAATGATGATTATCAATCATTATTATTTTCTGATTAGTATTTAATTAAACATAATTTTACCTACTTTTCATTGCAACTGCTCAGATCTTCAATCTGCAGCAATAAACATTGTGGTAGAGTAAACATCATGGTAATACAGGATTCCAAAGGAAGAAAAAAGTAAAATAAATTATTTTTATAAGTTCTGGTCTATACTGTTGCTTCAAGTCTCTTTATCTTTGAGATTGTCCAGCATTCACTTCCATACAAGAGGACAGATATCACAATAACAGTTCAGTATTCTTTTCTGTGTTTCCAATGAACTTTTCCTGTCTCATAATACTCTGCTTAGCTTTTACAATGCATCTTTGGCCATCCCAATACATCTTTGAATCTCAGTGTCACACTTTCTGTCCTCTGTTAGAACACTGAAGATAAATAACTATTAGATGAAAATTAATAATGTATAACAATGTATGATCTAAGAAATTCAGACAACTACATGGTGTGATGGATAAATTATTGTCTAAATTATGCAAAAATTAAAATAACACTGACATCTTATTTTAATATATATTTACCAAAATTGCACAAAAATATTTTGAAATACTAAAGAGCAAATTTATTCTATAAAATTGCCATTGGCTTCTGCAATGGCCACCAGATGACTTTGGAATCACCTGCAACTCTTCTAGATGGTTTCCTTGTTTAAGCTGGTGAATGTTGCCATAATCCTTGCCAAAGGTGTTTTGCTGGACTCTTGCTCAACTGCACTCCACACATAATAATCAAGGGGGTTGCAGTCTGGGGAGTTAGGTGGACAGATGTAAGGGGATGATGTGGTCGCAGAAATTGTCTAATAGCCATGATAGGATTCTCCTGCTTCTGTGGTATGTTGCAGAGTCCTGTTGCCAGATAGGTTCTTCCAACAGCCACCCTCTTGACCCAGATAAGCACTAACTCCTCAAGCACTTGATGTAGAACTCCATGTTGAGCCTGAAACCCCATGGGAAGATGAATGGAGGCATAATGTCACCATCACCAATGGTCACTCCAAACACCTTTGTAATCATCATTAGACTCATCCAACTCTTTCCAAATCCTCTGCACTCATCTCAGATTGACACCCAAATAGTCTGAAGTATTAGTATTGGATCTTCCCTTACGAATACCAAGCAGTACAGAATACCGTTTCCAAATTTCTGGCAGTGTGAATTGTGTCATGATGCTCTTTTTCTCCCAGACAGTGCCCAACTGACCCTACTATACTGTACAGTTGACAAAATCAAAAACAAACAATGTGCATGCATGAAATTAAAAATATAAAATGATGATAATTTACCCAACACACCCTGTATATATTATGACAACTCTATTTAAAAGCAATTATAGTTAGGCTGGAAAAATACTAGATGAAAATGAATAAAGGATAACAATGCTTTATTTCATTATAAATTCAAGATAACATTGACCAACAATACAATTACTCCATAAACACTTATAGTTATTTGTAAGTAATTTTGTTGTGTTGATTTTCAAAATGCAATCCATTTTATTATTTCCTTTCATATTGTTGTATTAAAATCTCTTATATTGTGCTAAATTGATTTATTTATTTTTATGGCTTATCAACCTTTAGCAGGTTTTATTTAAAGTTGGAAAATGTTTTTAGATTGTATGAATTTTGGGGGGAGATAGTAAGGATTTAGTGACATGAATCTTACTAATTTACCCATAGCTGGGGGAGAAGAGGTTGTTTCATAGTTTTCCCAATGGTATTTGTACATAAGTGAATATGATGAACACAATGGAAATTGGAACTCAGCTCTATGATAAACAATTTTGGGTCATTATTAATTATACCAGCTGCATATCCTAGTTTACAGCAATATTGTGTAAAATGAATATTTTGATCAAATTATGTTTAAAAAACGTTTGGATAATTAAATACACATAAGACTTTTTGTACTGACTTTCTTGAATGGCTCACATCTGGATATTCCCAGGGAAGCCATAAATCATTTATTATTGTTTCTTCAGTAAGTATTCAAATTTTCATTCAGACAAATATTTGCATGACAAACATATAGTTCTCATCAAACCTCTGAGATATTATGATTGGCTTTTATTGATAATTTTAATGCCTGAATTTGTGTTTTTGTCATATGATTTCAAATAAGAATAACAGATAAATAATAGATATGGCTTCAGAGTGAAGAAGATACTGGAATTATCATTTTTGTTTTATCTAGGCATTGTATACTTTACAAAAGCATTTAAGAAATATTACTGATATGATGAAAAATATTTTTCATACTTTAAGATGGAGTTAAGAGACCAGTTTGAAGAAGAAAGGAACTAGCATTTGGAATGCTGTTAATTTAGAGATGATGTTGGGATACGTCTACCCATAGCGTTAAGATTCCCAACATATAACAACAACAACAACAACAACACATCTTTTAAATGAAACATAAAAAAAGGTTATTTTCTAAATGAAAAGTAGAAACAGAACAACAGCTGAAATAACATTTATATATACTTTTCAGAGATATACAATAACAATAAAATTTTCTTGCAGTGAAGTTTGTTTTATCAAGTAATTAATTTTTCTTAGTGCTATGTGAGATGTGTGGATATACTTACTTTCTGGCAGTCAGCCTAATGTCTTTTTATGTTCACAGACAAGATCTTAGTCAGCAGCTGATGACTATCATCTTCTATTTCTATAAGAAATGCTTGTATACAACATTTTGTGCTATAAGTAATATTTGTTTTAAATCAGATTAATTTAACTTTAAATTTGCTAATTTTCTTCAAATAAAGTTTCAGAAATATATATTATATTTTTGCAAGATTTTTAAAACTGAGAATAAACTTTTGTTTACAAATATGTCAAAAATGGCTGTTTTGATCGATTTTAATGAAAAAAAATCGATTGTGATCATTATAATTTCTGTTTGAAATATACCACAGAGTATTTTACTAGAAATAGTAAATTTAATCATTTAGCTTTCAATTTAAGTTAAAATAAAAGCTTCAAGAAAGCTTTTTCATTTTTTTAAAATTCATTATAAACCTTACACATACCAAATTAGTGGAGGTACCTAGGTAAAAATATATGTGATTTTTGGATTCACCACCTCCAATATAGTTAAAATATCTCATGGATTTTATTTTTTCTGTACGCCTGTGTAATATGACTATTAATGTCCATCAACTGATAACTTGTGTAGTTGTAATAAAAAGCAAGTAAAACAAGATGAAAGAAATACTACTCAAAAATTAATAATGATTGGCAGAATTTATTTTGTGTTTTAATTAAAAAGAGTATATTGATAGTGAATTCATGTACTGATAGCAGCAGTTGCTCTTTGAAATTTTCTAAATGCCAAACTTCATGAAAATGTTACATCAGACTGGATCTCTTTAGATATCACTGTCATTATTAATTATTTAAATGAATCATCTTGTCCTATATATATGTTTGAAGTAGTAGATCTGATAAAATAATGGCATCAACTTATTCTAAGCTGTAATCAAAGTTTATCATCATTTCTTGTTAGTTTAACAGAGTAAGCACAGAATAAGTTAAAAAAAAATGTAAACTGCAAAGCTAAAGCAGTCTATGATGCATTTTAATTGATGTTCTGTTCAGTTTCTCTCTCTCTTTCTTTCTCTCTCTCTTGCTCTCTCTCTCTATGTATATATCTATCAATAGAACGATCAATCTCAGTCTGTTCCTATCTATCTATCTATCTATCTATCTATCTATTTCAGTTTTTCATATCTATCAATCGATTTCAGTCTTTCTTATCTATCTATCTATCTATCTATTTCAGTTTTTCATATCTATCAATCGATTTCAGTCTTTCTTATCTATCTATCTATCTATCTATTTCAGTTTTTCATATCTATCAATCGATTTCAGTCTTTCTTATCTATATATCTATCTATCTATTTCAGTTTTTCATATCTATCAATCGATTTCAGTCTTTCATATCTATCTATCTATCTATCTATCGATTTCAGTCTTTTATATCTAACTATCTATCTCTCTATTTCAGTTTTTCATATCTATCTATCTATCTATTGAAAAATAAAATTTTAATTATAACAGAAACACCTTTAGTGTTTGGACCAGGTTTACTTGTCAGAGTTCTCTAGTTAGAGAGTTAATCTTGGATGTTAGTTATGTAAATTATACACTTTTTTGCTCTAAAGAGGATATTCTATTGTTGCTGTGTAGTGGTGACAAAACACAGGAAGTTATTAGTTATAGCTATTGGTTTGTAAGCCCTTTCTTAACTGGTGAGTCCAGAAGAACAAGGAAGAAGTAAAAAGAGTGGATCATAGTACCATCAACACCATTGAGAAAGCCTGGTACATGCAACATCTGTGGCTGTGCTTGCCTCTCACACTGAATTTTGTGGTCACATGAAATTCTGCATGAATGTCTGGCATGAAAAATCAATGAACTTCAGAGACTGGGATGCAAACAATACTTTTTTCTGAATCTTGGTACTTATGTCCAGATTAAGCCATTATATTCCCTGTCATCTTCTGTATTTGGTAACATTTTGGAAATTTAATTCTGAGAGAAGTTTGTTCCAGTACAGGGAATATGATCTTAAATAATTTGCCTTGTAATGCAGCTTCTGCACATTCCACTGAAATTACCTGATCCAGAGATTGGACTGAAGACAAAATATATTAAAACATAAAAATTGCTTATATCAACTAGGCCAGAGATGGTGAATCTCAGTCGTTGTCTTCATGAACCGATATGTTTTTAATTTTTCATTATTGATATGTGTTTAATGAAAAACTTGTTGCTGTATCTTAGTTGCTAATGTTTTAATTTGAGGTATCTGTATTGGAACTATCATAAATGAATTTAGAATAGTCATAAATTTAAAATTATCCAAGCAGACACTAAAAATAGAAATAACTATAAGTGATAAAATACAAAGAGAAACAAAATCTTCTTGCACGATTGTACGAAACATTATAAAAATGGCCGAGTATCAGTTATGTGTACACAAGATGCAAACAAGACTAAATTTGACATATCTGCCCACAAGTTGCTATGTCAGCTGTGAAGAAGGCTGCCATTACAACTCCACAGGGCTAGAGTGAACAGAGGAACCCACATGGTCTCAGAAGAAACATAAAGAACACCACTGACCTGCCCCTTTCCCAACTGGGAAATATTACAGGACACTTTCTTTTTTCATTCCTTTTAGATGACTTGTTGTATACATATGATATAATTTCTCTATGTTGGACAAATTTGTGATGTATAGCTGGCCACTCGTTTTTGAGGATAACTGTCTACTAGGGCGGTTATCCAATCCCTATTGCAGATGCTTGCTCACGTGTATTTGAGTTTATTCAACACCCACAGAGCCACCTGTGGTTTATACTGCAACTATGCTGAGCAGACCTTAGTTACAGTTTCTGGGAAAGAGCATGTTATCTAGTATGATCAACAATTTGAACAAGGCCAGCACACTCAAGCCCTCAGCCACGATGACTTGTGACTTTGTGCTAGCACAGCTATCAATAGCATCCAAGGGTTCTATCTACCCAATTTCACTTACAAGACTTGGGTCAACCCATGGTATGGTTTTCAGGCACTTTCCAAAGGTGCCACATGCTGGGATCATCTCTTCCAGTCTGATAATATCAGGAAGCCTCCTTTGACTATGGTGAGATTCAAACCCGGGTCTCATGGTCAGAATGCAAATGTTCTAACCACTCAGGCACTCAATCACAAATCTCTTTGTGAACAATGCTTATTTGTCATTCCTTTCCTTCAGCTATTCTGTTCTGTCAGTGATATTAAGATGTTACTATATCATAGATATAATAATGCCCATAATGGGTGAAATACAAACTGGGAATATTCTCTCCTGTATACCATCCCCATTATCTATAACATTCAATTTTGTCATCAAAAAGCATTATGTTCTATAACATGAATTCAATGTATTTCAAATCTGATTAAATAAACAATTAATCTGATTAAATTGATAAATTCAGTCACAGAATAAGAATAATTTAATTAATATTGATAATATACCAAATCTAAAATTTGACATAATATTTTATATAACATAAATTTGACACAATAATTTAACATTCAATTTGACACAATAAGTGACACTTTAAATTGATATTAAAATATATATGTTAAAATTAGACACATTAAATTTGACACAATAATTTAATTAATACTTTTCCACTATATAAACATTTTTGTGTTTATTCTGTAAATAACCTACAACTAAAATCCAAATTATCAACAACTCAAGCAATCTCATATTTTTAAACATTATTGTCAGGTTATAATGCATTAATTAACAATTTTATTTTGATAATAATACCAACTGACCTCTGCAAAGGTTGATAATGAGTTTAATAGGTGCTACTACTACTACTGTTTAAATGGTAAAGTAGCTATGGGAGAGTGGTTTTTGCCCATGTACCCATTCAAATACCTACTCATTTTTCTGTCAACCATGGAGATATGCTAACGACAGACCTTTTTAACATTTTTTTACTGTTATTCACATGATATAAGAGCCACCCAAAGTAGAAGCCTATTGCAAGGGTGTAAAGGGAGAAATAGAAAATGTATATTATGAAGATATGTAGGACAGATAATGGATTACCCTAGATTTGAAGAGGTTAAGGTTGTATTGATTGATGAAGCATCATCTCAGGAATCTGACCTCCAAAGTAAGACGAAGTTGTCTGTGGAATTTCTTCCTTACCATTAGAATACGAAGAGGATGTGGATGAGTCAGTACTGTGGACATGATATGAAGGGTCATAACAGTGAATGTCTGAACTGTAGGAAGTGGAGAATGTAGCGCTTCCAAACATCTGCAATGGAAATACTGATAGAACAGGGAGAGGCTGATAATGTTTCATATGTGAGGAAAGGAGTTGGAAGTGGAAAATAATTCATCATCCACAAGGCTGCATAAACGTTTTTTGAATGGTATCTATTGCTAGATGGTTACTGCAGAAGAATATTAATTTATATTCTTTCAAAGGGTAAAAATGAGAAGTTTTTGTCAAAATTCGAACATGGTTTTCAGTTTCCGTTTATTCTATAATTAAACATTACGCTAACAGGTACTAGTATCTTCTGATAATATGCAACATAAATATAATATTAAATCCATAAAACATTACCTAGAAAATGTTAAAAACACCACCATTCCTTTACAAAAGCTATAATCTTTTTATTTAAGATTCTAAATACTTCAAGGTACTTTGAAACATATATTATGCAAAATCCTAAAATATTTAAATATATGCATAGAGATCTCAAGTTCTCAAGGACACATGGCACAGTGTTTAAAGGCATTGATTAGATCCAATGACAGGACCCAAAGAGTGTGAGTTCAATACCCGGTTAAGGCAGTGGAGAACTTTCAGAGGGAAATTAACAGGAGATAACTGATAACTGACATCCATTAAACATGGCATGTGGAACTAGAACAGTCTACCCCAGTGAGCAAAATAAAGGGTTCATTTTGATATTCCAACCACCTGAAGAAGGCCAGAGTGACAACGGAAGAAATGTTGTAATAAATATGGCGACAAAGATGAGGACAATAGTTCGAATAATGTAAATAGTTTACATAATACCTCATCTCAGAAATATAAACAGTTACTGAAGGGCCAAAACGTTGTAATAAATATGGCAACAAAGATGAGGACAATAGTCCAAATAATGTAAATAATGTACATAATACTTCATCTCAGAAATATAGACAGATACTGAAGGGCCGAAACGTTGTAATGAATATGGCAACAAAGATGAGGACAATAGTTCGAATAATGTAAATAGTGTACATAATACCTCATCTCAGAAATATAGACAGATACTGAAGGGCCGAAACGTTGTAATAAATATGGCAACAAAGATGACGACAATAGTCCAAATAATGTAAATAATGTACATAATACCTAATCTCAGAAATATAGACAGATACTGAAGGGCCAAAACAGTGTAATAAATATGGCGACAAAGATTAGGACAATAGTCCGAATAATGTAAATAGTGTACATAATACCTCATCTCAGAAATATAGACAGATACTGAAGGGCCGAAACGTTGTAATAAATATGGCAACAAAGATGAGGACAATAGTCCAAATAATGTAAATAATGTACATAATACCTCATCTCAGAAATATAGACAGATACTGAAGGGCCGAAACGTTGTAATAAATATATCAACAAAGATGAGGACAATAGTCCAAATAATGTAAATAATGTACATAATACCTCATCTCAGAAATATAGACAGATACTGATGGGCCGAAACGTTGTAATAAATATGGCGACAAAGATGAGGACAATAGTCCGAATAATGTAAATAGTGTACATAATATCTCATCTCAGATATATAGACAGATACTGAAGGGCCGAAACGTTGTAATAAATATGGCGACAAAGATGAGGACAATAGTCCGAATAATGTAAATAGTGTACATAATACCTCATCTCAGAAATATAGACAGATACTGAAGGGCCGAAACGTTGTAATAAATATGGCAACAATGATGAGGACAATAGTTCGAATAATGTAAATAGTGTACATAATACCTAATCTCAGAAATATAGACAGATACTGAAGGGCCAAAACAGTGTAATAAATATGGCGACAAAGATTAGGACAATAGTCCGAATAATGTAAATAGTGTACATAATACCTCATCTCAGAAATATAGACAGATACTGAAGGGCCGAAACGTTGTAATAAATATGGCAACAAAGATGAGGACAATAGTCCAAATAATGTAAATAATGTACATAATACCTCATCTCAGAAATATAGACAGATACTGAAGGGCCGAAACGTTGTAATAAATATGGCAACAAAGATGAGGACAATAGTCCAAATAATGTAAATAATGTACATAATACCTCATCTCAGAAAATAGACAGATACTGATGGGCCGAAACGTTGTAATAAATATGGCGACAAAGATGAGGACAATAGTCCGAATAATGTAAATAGTGTACATAATATCTCATCTCAGATATATAGACAGATACTGAAGGGCCGAAACGTTGTAATAAATATGGCGACAAAGATGAGGACAATAGTCCGAATAATGT